GTAATATGATTATATTCTACCTAATTTTTTTCACTATGCCGTATTGATCAGCTTCTGTTAAATTATTTCTATGATGTCATAGTAATGTATGACGCCAGTATTCATGAATAATAATAATAATGATAATAATAATAATAACGCTTATCATAACACATAAAATGTTGTATTTAATTATTTTAATCCGTATTACTACTGAAGTAGTTAATTATATATTTATGTGGGCAACATATCAATGATTGTGAATGTTTAGTCACACAGATCAAAATGGAATGTATAATTAAAAATTGGTTACAAATTATCTATTTATGCACTGTTTATTATGAGTAGTTGTTATAAATTTCATGCAATTAGTTCCCTTTATGAATTTAAATAAAGCGAGAACAAATATTAATGCAAAATCGTATGAATTCATAGTATTTCGGGGTTTCTCGTCAGCTGCTTACAACCAAATTTGTGATAGAATTTTTACATTGAGATAGTGTAAAGCAATTGGCATAAATGAATGTAAATAACTGGAATGACAAAGATTTACAATAATAACCATATATATATATATATATATATATATATATATATATATATGCTGGAACAGGTCAGGGGTTAATTGCTGTTAGAAAAAGAAATTATTCAGGGTGGATGGTGTAATGGTTTAGTGGAGTTCATAAATTATGTGATAATTTTAGAGATTAATGGAATTAAACAAAGATAAGATAGGTTACGTAATAATTATTTGAAAAGTTAACATAATTTAAGAGGATCAATAGGAGGAAATTTGGTTTAGGAATTAGGTAATTGAGGAGGAATATAACAGAAAATAAATATTTTAAAATAAATGAATGAATAAAATAAACCAAATAATTTTGATAATTGATTTATGAGTCAATTATAGCTAAACCACTTTAAAAGGCATGGAACATTGGATGGCTGCTTCGTCCTATTGTGGGACACCTCAGCAGTGCGCATACACGAACCCACCCACAGGTGGGACCTTCAGTCTTACAAGCGAACGCTTAAATTCTCGACTACTGATCTGATCGGCATTCAATCATAGTTGAAATGCTTCATCATAAAACTGACTTCCAATATTTAGTTCAATAGATTCGACTTATATGTTTCCTGTAAAAACATTTAATAAAATACAGTCCACTCAATAATACACTCAATCAAACATATATCCATTTTATCAGAAAGAGTTGTGTGGAGATTTTAGAAATTTCACTGGTTGAAGTCATGAGTCGATTGAAGCTAGACCACCATGGAAAACCTGAAAGCGCTGGACGGCCGTTTCGTCTTAGTATGGGACTCCTCAGCAGTGCGCATCCACAATCCCGCCCCTCGCGAGACTCGAACTCAGTACCTATCATTCACACGCCAGGCGCGAGAGAGGCCGTTACGAGTGGAGTTCAACCAGGTCTGTTGTGAGATATCAGCTCACTGAAGACAATAGTGTACGGTGGCGCTACTTCGTGGATTGGTTGAAGTTAGACATTAAAACCGTTGGATGCAAGTCAGATCAGTGGTCTAGAAATTAAGCGTTCGCGCGTAAGACCGAAGGTCTAGAGTTTGAATCCTGTGGGTAGGATCGTGGGTGTGCACTGCTGAGGAGTCCCGTACTAGGACGAAACGGCCACCTAGTACTTACAGGCTTTTCATGATGATCTGGCTTCAATTGACTCATGATTTCAACTAGTGATATATCCATTTATCAACTTTATATAACTTTACATAAATTTATTTATTATTATTATTATTATCCACTTGTGTATCGGTTAACTATCAGTTTCTATCATTAATGAGCTTCAATGAACATTGATTATAAAATACGAATTCCCTTTCTATTATTCTCAGCCTTTTATAATTATCATAGTTTTAAAACAGCTTATAACTTCCTTGTTTATGCATAATACACCTTAGAATAATGTCATATAACCATTACATAGAATTTATTCATATATAAATATCATTCTGAAAAAAAGCTTGTTTCTCCCTAAAACTTCAAAAGAAGACAGACTACTTTTTGAATATATATATATATATATATATATATATATATATAATTATTATTATTTTACTTTCTGACAGTAATATAGACGACAGAATGTTTTTTTTAACAACTGACACCGATTCACAAATGATAACAATGTAGTGAGCGCATTATTATAAATGCAAAGTGGGAGGTATTTAAACTAAGTTAATCATTTCATTGATTTGATTTATAGCACAAGTTTAGTTTATGAAAATAAAAATACTGGCTAATCTTTCAAATGTTAACTTGATATAATTTAATGTTATTGAATTGTTATAGACTAGTGATTTAAAGTTTTTAGGATCTATAGTACAAATTGAAGGACTCAGTCTTGATATTCTCTTAAAGACGTGAATGTTCAGTATGGTGAAGTTTCATTAAAGGATGAAATAGTTATGCAATAGTTGTTTCATTAAAGTCGATCCTTATGATGAAATTTATTTAAATCGAATTTTAGTTGCCTAGTGAATGCTTTAGTGTTGAATATGATCAGATAATTTTGTACTTTGTACTGAAGGTCATTTATGAATTAACTATCAGTGTAGTTAAATAAGCTAAAAAAGAAAGCTTATCATATTTATATTCATACAAATTTCATTTTCCACTAATTCATTTTTGTATCGCTTGTTTGAATCTTCTGATTGATGTTGAGGACTGTAATTGATCAGTCTCTTATTGACATATGTTAATCTTGTCTGAAATGCCTGGATACTGCTTTAACTCACAAGCATTATAGACAGAGATGGATGAGTAAATCTAGCTGACAAATTCTAACTAAGACAAAACACGCATCTAGAATTCCACTACTAACCACTGAAGATGACACAGGTATTTGGAGTTTAACAACGCTTTAACCAGTAGCATCTTCTAGTATGAATCGTACCCACCAAGTGATTCCAAAAGACAGAAGTGAGGAGGTTCGAAGATATATTTGATAGGCTATCAATATATCAAGGATCGACTGATCTAATCTGGCTAGCGATTTCAGAGGATGTTGAGCACAGCGTCCCCACTCGTGATCTGGTGCGAATGCATGACCAAGTGTCTTCAGCTAGGTGAGTTTATTAAAACTGATGTGGTCAGCATCTAATGTCGAAAACTTACAGAACTATTTATTTTGGGGATTTATTTACCGCTACACCACCATCTATCTCTGCTTATTATGCTTATTTTCCACTGTTATTTTGTCGACATCTTTTCAATTTAGATAGTTTCTTTTTTTAGATAACTAGATATATTATCTAATCAATATCTGATCATATCAGTTCTTTTATATCTAGAAAAAAAGGTTGTAATTTAACATAGATACACAACTATAAACCTAATGAAATTATCTTTTTATTTAATTAAATTTGTTTATTCTATATACATAAATGTAAGTAGGTAACAAATATGAATAAATAATCATTTGTTACATGGGAAAAAAACAATATTTTCTGCACAACAACAACAACGACAACAACAACAACAACGACCTCAGTAAAGATTATGAATAACTTGTGGTTGAAATGTTAATAATTTTTTTCTTTCATATAGAATCTGTTTCAAAATTGTATGATGAATTAAGATTTGAGAAAACAAACAAACGAACTAACTAATAAGACAGACGTAAACGAGGTAAAAAAGAAAAACAAAGGTTGAAAACATAAATAAACAATCGACCACTATGCTTGATGTATTCTACATGGAATATAAAAATATTTGAATTTATATTATAATTTTAATACTTTCAATAATACATGTCCACTTTCATTTGTTCAATGTTCAATAATAATCATGTTTGAATATGAGTTTGTTTAATATGGCGTCCATGTGGTTGCGTGTCATTTTCTTGGGTTTATTCACAGATTGAATACAAAATAGACTAAATTATATTAGATCACGCTTCATATAATAATAATAATAATAATAATGGTAATAATAACAGTAAGAATAGTACTAAACTGAATGTAGCAAAAATGTTTATTAGGAAGAGAGAGAAAAATAAACGAAACATGGAACAAAAAAAACTATTTAGATGAATATGTCTCAGTAAGAGGGTTTGTATCACGAATTGATATCAACCAGAGACATATTAAGACTATTCAGTACAGTGTATTTACAACTGAAACTAATAGTTGAATTCATGAATCAATGAAAGCTAGATCACCATGGAAGCACTGGACGACTGTTTCTTCCTCGTATGGGACTTCTCAGTAGTGTGCATCCATGATTCGAACTCAGAACATATCGGTCTCGTTCTCGCGTGCAAAAAAATCTAGTTATTCAGTTCAATTAAATTTTACGACATAAACTTCCGAATTTCAACTTGATGATATGAAGATGACATAACTATTATGTGACAAGAAAGTTTTATGTTTTGTACCGTTGATTTAAGAATATAGTTGCACATTACTATGAGTAGTCACAATTTTAATGCAATTAATTTCAAGATGGTGGAGAAGATTTGTACCTCAGATCGATAATTTTGATGGAAAGAACAAAACTTCAGCGAAATTAATTTCATTATTATCACTGATTCTCTAGATGATATTTGTTATGCCTATAGAACTCGTATATGAATTATACTTGGTATTGAAACTTTGAATCTGACAACATATAGTGAGAACACAAAAACTGAGGATGTGGATCGATTTGACCCTGGAAATAAAACATACTGACTTATACGATATATTCATAGTTAGTTTTGTAAAAATTGAAGGTAGTAATGGGCAACATCAAGTCATTAATGACTTACTATATGAAAACATATTTACAATATCATTCAAATAAATACCTATAACTAACATGTATAAATAATTAACTATGTTATGTAATTAATCCCCGTCAATATATGACTACATATTGCATATAACTGGAAAAATAAATCAATTACACAACTCAATCAATTAAGTCATCCATCAACATATCAATGTCAATTTTGATGAGATAAATGAAGATAATAATGAAAATATACTTCAACTGAATTACTTACCTTATCATCATTGGTTAGTTCTGTGTCAAGAATGAAATGATCTAAAACAAAAATTAAATAAATTAACAAAAATAAATTATTATCATAAAGGGGTTTTGTAGGGATTGTAGTAATCTAAAAGTTGAGTTGATGAATAGATTAAAGCTAGGCCACCATGAAAAAGCCTGAAAGCACCAGATGACCGTTTCGTCTTAGGATAAGACTCCTCAACAATGCTCATTCACGATCCCTCTCACGAGAGTCAATCCTGGAAACTTCGGTCTTGCACGCGAACGCTTAATATCTAAACCACTGAGCCATCATAATACTTCAAAGATTAAAAGTAATTATTACTTATTAAACATTTTTCTGATAAATTTTAAATAACGGATTACCATGAATAAATAAAATTATTCTTATCATTGTTAAGAATCTTAAATGTTTCTCTTTTAGGTTGTCACATTTTAAAGCCAATGTAATGCTTGAATTACCAATGAAACTCTGCACTGTGTTAAGTTGATTTAAATATTGTTTTATGAACGCTAATTCACAGTAGTGTACATACGTCTTTACATTTAAACATCTCCCGTACTGTTTATTTATATTACCATGAATCAATGAAACTATGGAGATTTATATATTCAAACATCTTTTTATTTGCTTACCTTCAGTTTCATACGGACATCACAAATCAGTCATGATAAAATAAAACTAGCCTTTGGTACCGAAATATATATATTGTGTCTGTGAAATAATTGACTCATTACTTGCTACTAGAAATCATAAATTGAACTAAACAAGTAACAACCATTAGATATTAGATAAGGATTCATTTAATATCTAAAATAAAATAACATAATATCCGAATACAATAGTTTTTGAATGATTTGTATTAATTAACAATCAGTAGTACTTGACATTAACCGATAAAAAATTTGCTAAATAAACAACAACTGTCTATGACTGACAGTCATGCTGATGTAGTTACTCTTTAACATGTGATTACTTATTATAGAGGATTGGAAAAAGGGATCACAATTGCATGTAAATTGCACTTAAATCAGTTAAGTCCTCTTTAATCATAGCATTATAGACAATCGGGAATATATACGATGTAATTATTCAAAATACAAGCTGAAACAAAACGGAAGTTCGTATCCTAAGTGAGTATAAACCGCTTATTTCGTCAGGAAATTAATGGAAGATAAAGTTTATATATAGAAAATTGATTTTGAGATGGGCTGCTTAAATTATTTAGTAATAAAATACAATTACCTATTAGGCCTCAAACAAAGCTCTACACAGTTGGATGATACACTGACTAATAACTAATAATGTACCTACAATAGACACACTATACACAACTTATAACATTAACTCATTCACTTGTTATAGCCGACTATCGAATCGTAAATTAACTTTCCGGTCAAATTCGCACATGTAACTCCGGTAAGCTATCGAAATCAATATTGATTTATTCTTCAAAGTTACCATAGTCTGTAAAATTCGTAGTTCTGAAATGTGTACCCAAAAACGTCTAACGACAATATACATGTTAAATTGCATTTCACAGTGTATCATTACGGTACGGTATGATAAACATCTTAACCATTGAATATTTAATGTTGATTACCCCATATCAATTGAAAGGAAACAGTTCTTTTAAAGTAAATAATAGTCTAAGGGTCACTGAACTTAGATAATAAATATGAGCATCAAAGATGACGTTTTCCTTAGCATTTATACGCGGTTAAATAAACATAATTTCAAACAAAAAATCTATCGCCTAATTGGCAAAATATTTGGCCATACATTATTCGATATGTTAAACCCTTTATGATTATGTAAAAATACAGTATCAACGAACTGTATTGGGGTTTCCTGCGTGGGTTCGAATCCCATCCACGTCGCCAGTTGTTATATCTAGAAGGTTGTTTTCTTGATAGACAGAGTATAATTGAGCACTAGAACTCCAAAACCCTTCCAAGTCTCAATGAGAAGACAGAAGACTAATGAAAGGAATATTATTCCAAAAAGTATCAATCATAGTACAAAACTGTCAGGTATTTATAGTTTTTAGTAAGAACGACATCATCATTACAGTCCTCCAATCCGCATACAGGGAATTATTAGCATTGTTCAATCGGGCAGCTACACTTAGGAATTCTAAAATATGTAATTTTCTGTGTGAGTCTGGTTGAGCACATTTCTGTTTTTAATCTATTCTCCCATTGATTGTAATACACAAATAATCAATAATTTATTCATACTTGATTAGCACTGAAAAATATATATGGATTTTTAAAATTCACACACACACTCTTGGTTTTACTGTGTGCTTGCTTGCTGTATGCTTGCAGATTTCATTAATCTTTAACAATAAAAAATATCTCTACAACTGATGTTCAAACTTCTGAATAATCTGAAGTAAATCTATAACTCTACTAGAAGATTTTGACAGCGTTAAATACTCAATAAACAGGTTATCATTTATTGGAGTCAGATAAAGGGGAAATTCGCCTCTACACAATACAGTCCTAAACATCAATAAGAAGATTCAAACAAATCATACAAAATGAATTTAAACTTCATTTCATTACACAAGCAAGTGGCTATCAGGACTCAATATCTATGTGGATAACGTGATGATATTTAAAGAGAGCGTTATTGGGTTCGATTCCCAGAGTGAACATCAGCTCTGAGATGTAAGTACATCCAGTTGACGAGTCCAAAATGGGACGAAACGTGTATCCTGGATTCCACTGTTAGCCACTATTGATCTATGATTATAAAATTGGCTGTAAATATATTATTTTATTTAAGTTATAAACCTTATTATTTGACGATAAATCTTAAGGACTTACAATCTAACAAGACCAAAAACAAAACAGTGCAAATCAAACCGTTCACTAAATACACTTCATCTCTCCATATTAATCATTTTTAAACAAACATCTGGATACTAAATAAATAATAATAACAGCTTTCAATTACTATAACATTAAAGTAAATCATTTTGACAAATTATTTTTTAAAAAAGAAATAATAATAAAAGTGGCACATAAGATTAATGATTTTATACGTAGAAATATTCAAACAAATGGTAACTAATAAAAGATCAATTAAATGAAAGACAACATGACAACAAATTTTCATTCAAATAATGAAAAAGTAAAAAAAAAGAAAAAACAGAATAGAACTATTGATCATATTGTCTCGGTTTCATAACTGACGCCAACAGAATATTTCTTTTTTATTTATTCAAATATTACAAATAGTGTGAATTTAAGAATTTCACTTAATTATACAATTACCTTAATATAAAAAAAATAAAAAAAATGTATTCTATTATTATGTAATCAGGCAATGATAATATTGTAATTAACCATTTGTTCCATATTGAAATAAATATAAATCCAAGAGTAAATCATCATTTTTTCTTAATTTTTTTTGAAAAAATTTTCTTATCACATATTTCTTATTTTTTTTTGTATTTTCTGTTACCAATAGATTTCTACCGTATTATTAGTGAATTTTAACAAAGAAAATGTAACTAATATAATTACTACTACTACTATTACTGATAAAAATAATATGACGTAACTTGTATGTAAATGTGAATAGTCAGCCGATTAGAAGTCTGGAAAATGAAATATGTATCATTAAGTGATATTACAATAAAACATTTTAATTTTTTATGGTATAGAAAAGTTTAATTAGCAAAGAATAATTATTCTGTTATTTTTTCACTTTTAATAATGAATAGATTGGATACAGCTAGACGATTTGGAATTCCAAGTTGGCCTAGCCATTTTATCCAAAACACATTAGTGTAGAAGAAGCCACTACATCATTAGGTCTCAACATACACCATAGAAAAAGCAAGATCATTAAATAGAACACGAAAAACACTAACACAATCACACTTGATGGTGAAGCTCTGGAAGATGTGAATGCTTTCACGTACCTGTGAAGCATCATCAATCTACAAGGAGGGTCTGATGCAGAGGTTAGTGTGAGGATTGGCAAAACAAGAACAGTATTTCTACAGTTGAAGAACACATGGTACTCAAAACAAATGTCAACCAATATCAAAGTCACAATCTTCAATATCAACGTCAAGGTAGCTCTATGGTACACAGCTGAAAATTGGAGAACTACCACAACCATCATCAAATTGTACAAGTATTTATAAACAATTGTCTACGCAAGATACTGAATGTTTGTTGGTCGGATACAATCAGCAATAGCCTACCATGTGAGAGAACAAACTAGTTTCTAACCGAAGAGAAAATTAGAGAAGTTAATAGGATATAATTTGAGGAAATCATCAAGCGCTAGCTTGGAGTCATGAAACGAAACTGAAAAGAGGAAGGCCGAATAACACCCTATGTCGAGTATTGGAAGCAGACACCTAAAGAATGGATACCAACTGGACAGGGTCGGTCAAGATAGAGTTGGATGACGAATACTTGTGGGCGGTATATGCTTCTACATGAAGGATAACAAGTGTAAGTAAGTAAGTAAGCTATGAAGTCCAACCTTGACATTTATACTAACAAATTTGAGGTTGGTTTAAATATGCGGAAAATTTTATATATAGTGAAATATTAATATGAAGCTAGTATCCTCCAAAATATCCATTTTAATAAACTTGAACCTAAGAATAATTTGAACAATCAATTATAAACAGTTCAATTGAAACAGTAATTATCATTTTGCTAAGTACTGATAATTTCTCTGTATTATGTATTGTATTTCAAAACAAGTTAAAGTCGAACGTATAATTAAGAAGATTATTAATTTTAAAGTTAAGATAAATAGACAACTTTCTCATTTGTACATATACTTTCATAATGATGAAAATTTACTATTATGAAATATAAGCTAGTTTAGTTAGTAAACGTGATCGAAACGTTGTATAAATTGAAAGTTAAGATAAATGTTAACAAAACATTTGAGAAATGAATTTGAAAACTTCTTATTTGAAAATGTTTATATAAACAATCATTACTACAGATTTCATATTCTTGACCACACTGAATGTAAGTTCTAGGCGTTT